AGATCGATAAGTGTTCATCTATCATTCCTTTATACATGCATATTTAGGCCCGCGAAGCCGCCTACGAGGCTGAACAAGAACGAATCAGAGTGGAGAAGGAATTGGAGATTGCGAGACTTCGGAGTCTGCAGGAGAAGGCCAGCGATGAGGCGGCAGAGCGTGACGCCCTTCGAGCTAAACGAGCCCAGGAGGAGACTGAACGGCAGTTTCGTCGGAAGGAATTAGAGGCTGCGAGGAAGTTGGCTGCGGAGAAGGAGGAGATGAACCGCGAACGGCTGACCCAGGCAGAAAACAAGAAGCGACTTCTGGCAATGGAGGTCAGTCGCGAAAGAGCCGAGTTCGAGCGGATTCTCAGGTTAGCTCTTCGTAAAATGGCGATGTGTACCTTTCTATGTGCTGATCCTTGAATGAGGATGGTCTCTTAAATAACAAATTTAATTGAAACAAAATAACATTCAGTCCTAGCAATGGGCAGGTATATGTGTGTTTTGGCCTGAGTTTCAACTGATGGCAAGTTTATCTAATTAACCCATTACCTCTCGGTGATCTCATATGAGATCACTTAAAAATTAAGAGTTTCGTAATTATCTGTCTGTATAAACGCATATTTAACCTTCATACTATATCTATTAGGTATATTTTTCTGATATCCACATGAGATTTTTAAAAAATTTGGCTCTAAATTAATTTATATACAAGTTTGAGGAACCATAGGTATCCAAGTTTCATAACAAAAATCAAAGTGGTTAAAACTGTGGGAGGTAATGGGTTAAGAGGAAAAGGCAGGGTCTCTATAGTGTGCCGATCTCCCAGAGTACTTTCGACTACTACTTTTCAGTCCTACCCAAATATATCGGAGTGTTATTTTTTAACCGTTCCTGTTCGGTTTGCTGCGCCTGAGGGTTTGACATTCAAGGTACGATTTGCCTCCTCCAGCTCCTTTCTCAGCAGTATTTTCTCGCTATAAAGTGGTGAGAGATAACTCATTGGTTTCTTTAACCATATACGCTATTATAGACTTCGAGACCAGCATTCTTATCAGAATATGTACTCCCTTTGAGACACTTCTTAATTTTTTTTATTTTACATGATACTTTATGCCGTATTACCGGCTCACAATGTATTTTAATGAAAAACATGGAAGCTATTCAAGACATGTTAAATCTTAATTCCTTTTAAACATGAAGGAACTTTTTTTTATTTTAATCTGTCTGCACTAGTCTGTAGTAAAATTTCAATTTTGATTATATTATTGAAGTAACACTAACCCACGATATGAGCATTTTGTAACAAGTTGAAAACAATTGCAAATTTAGAGGAAATGCGTGTTCGTTGACTAGACTACAAGCTGACTAGTTATTTCCGAGTGAGTTCTATCAGTACTAACTGCATGTCAGTGGTATTGGAGAATGTTAAGTGCTGTTAAGTGTTGTTTCAGGCTGCTTTCCCGTTCTGCACACTTCGGTATGAGATAAGTTCATCGAATAATATTAACAAATCATTCCAAGGGGTATAAACGTATCGAAGGCGGTCCTGGTTCCTCGTACTACTTTTTTCTGCACATTCTAACTTACTCCGTCACCTCCTTCGACATCCACTTTCCAAGTGAATTCGTTCCCTTCACATATGAGGTGAGAGTCTGTGAGTAATTGCTATTCTATTCAGTGAACAAGGATTGGTTTGAAAATAGAAGATTTTGTCGATAAGCATCAAGCCTAAATGTTCGCAACCGAACTCCAGCAAACCTGGTAGGAAAGCCCTTCGCCTGGACCAACTCACGAATAGCATATCGTCCTCTTGATAGGTTTTTTGGAGGGGTGAAAGGAGAGGGGGTTGGCAGTAGAGGTCATTGAGTACTGAAGTCAGCTTGTGTATGAGGTTTTGGCGAGATACTTGTGTGAACAGTGGACTCATTCTGTCTTGCCAGTCTCATCGTAATCCGTCGGCGAAATACGTCCAGACGACTAGCGGTGGGACTGGAGGCAGTGAGTGACTTGGCTTCGTCCCGTCTGCGCGTGCTACAGCAGGGATTCAATTCAGTTCAGTTCTTCTCTGGTCAAGAACGCCGGTCGAAGAGGCTATCCGGCTGTTGCCGCTAAGGGAATTGAGACTTCAGGAGACCACGAATACCACTGTGCCAGATAAGAGCCACTTGGAGCAACCATCAGACGCATCAAGGCCCGTCACCCCCACAAAGCGTACCCCTCATCTAGACAGCCCGCATTATTACAATAAAGCAGTCCACAGGTGTTGAAGACAACGTGCTGTAGATTTTCTATCTCATTCAATGTTGATCGAAATTCTGAAATGTTTTTTCTATTGGAAAAGGTTATTTAAGTAGACTCGAAAAACTTATTAATATGCATCATACCTTTCAAATATTTTAGTCACATGAGGATGCCGGCTTTTGAGAGGATTCCTTTCTGGCTGTCTGTAAAACCTACGCTTTATACACAATACCTACTTAAATAATATGGATTTTAGCATTGAGTTTCGATGCCTTTATAGGTTGTATATATTTAGTACACAAATGTATGAAAACATCATTTCTTGTACTCATTTGGTTGCAAATTACATCTTATTAAAAATAGTACTCGAACAAATCGAATTGATATTTTTTAAAGTGTTTAATTATGAAATATCTAATTATAGATTATCACATCGGTCCACTCATAGAGTACTTTTAGTAAAGTATGCAAACGTATTCACGTCTATTGCACCATTTTATGAGACTTATATGATATCGTCATACTAATATATAGAAATATGTTCGTTCTTTTACATGGGAAATTTACAGCTCGTAATTTTGAAACCCAAACTACAAGTGTAACAGCAGTTCATGTTCCAACTTATTCGGGTATTCTTCAGTCCAAGACATTTCGGAATTTTGGAAACCGCTTCTACTGTATATGTGCTTCAGCCGCCATTATAACAACTTGATCTAGCCCCAGTGACTCATGGTTATATTCAAACTTCGAGAAAAATCTTACGATGCTTGAGTTGCAAACCCTTGAGGATGCTATTATGTACCCCAATAATAACTGGATTTGGCCATAAATGCCGATTTCAGCATGTTTTTACTGTTGAATGCATCGGCTTACACTGTTTAAAAATAATGATTTGCACTTTGAAAGCTTAAACTTCTAACGTTATCCTTTTTAAATAACTACTTCTGGTGCTTTTTATTCCATCTATTAAGCACTGTCTAAAATCAGTCCTCTTGCCTAACTTTGGGGTGAGTATAATCTTAACACCACGCATCTTTCATCTATTAAAAAGGGCTCAGAAGGAGGCGATCGCCAAGGATAAAAAAGAAGCTGAGTTAAGAAAACAGAATCAAATTAATTTCTGTAACGAAATTAAACGTCAAATCTGCGAATCCGAACAGGAACGGATTGCCGAACGGAATGCATTCTTTGAAGAAGGCGTTCGAATGGAAGAAGAGGCCCGACTGCGTCGTTTGAGACTGGAGGATGCCAAGAACCGGAAGATGAACGAACTAAGGTTAGTCTTGCAAACGTTTTCATTGTTTTCATCCTGGTACATAAGTTGCGGTAGCCAAAATTATGAGCAGACCATAATTAGCATGAAATCCAGGCCCGATCCCGAATAAAAGTCGGCGAATGGCTGCGCATTGTATTCTACGCGAAATGATTAGAGAATGGGTTAACGGACGTTAGCAGTTGGACGATGGCGCACGTCCATCAACGCGAGAGCAGGCGTTTAGGCTGCCAGTGGGACAGAAGCAGCGAGTCTCGAATGTCTGTCTTGAAGTTGATTGGCTGTTTTGCATTGCTGTTATTGGACAACATTCAGACTGCCACACTTACGCGCGTGAGGCGCTTCCATGCATAGTCTGCTTTGTACAAAAAAACCTCTATAGTTGTGCTTACTATGTAATCAATGCGATCTTTAGTGGAATTTGTAATTTTGTTGGTGAATATCTACCGTTGTATGGTTGCTAATGTCCCAAAAATCATTCAATCCGAGTCTGCTCCATCTCCTGCTTCTCAATGTCGTTTTGACCAATTAAATGTCCGCAGCGCAATCCTTTTTGACTCAACATGACTCCGGTTTATTTTTGTTATAAGAGGGACTGCATTCCAGTTAAGGAGGCGGAAACTTATTTGAATTGGTCACCAGAAATTACCACCACAAGCGTCTCGGAATCGCACCTTTTCATAGGTTCACTTTTGATATGTCCAATTTCGGTCTGCGCTGATAAGTTTCTTAGCGAAAACATGATCACGAAAGCACCTACGCTCACTTCGTTGTCCCTGTTAGACCATATGTGACGTTCAGTGCTAAGAATTTCAAATGGCATAACGAGACCGCATGAAGCCGTTTACGAATGTAACAACAGTTAAGAAATACACAAAAGAAAACTTACGGGCGGGATGAGCTAGACAATTTACACTTATAACAATATTGCCACCTACTTTTGAATGACTTGCTGGATCATATGGCTTACCAAAATTTCGGAGGAAGCCTTCACGTAGACAGCGTCCTCCAACTTCGTTTTTAGCCGAGTCAAGCTTTTTCTTTCTTCCTTCCTCCCTGTCATCGTTATCATTTTAACCCACCTTGGCCCAGCATGCGAGCCAGAATGGCTTCGATCACCACGCTCTTCCCCAAGATTTCGTACCCAACCTAGCGTAGACACTGGATGGTCAAATCCCGAATGCTCCCTGGGGCTATAAATAGGATGCTGTTGAGTGGTTTTGATATATTAATCCCTATGCTGTATGAGAAGTTTTTGTAATTTTTCCATTACTGTGCCTTTAAAACCGTAAGTGTTTTGTTTAAAAAATACCTGCAAGTTACGTACCATTGACTAAGCAGAAACCCACAACAAAAGAAGCCAAAGGGCAACCGGGATGGATGAATTTGAGTTTTGTATTTTATTCTCAGAGGACTGACAGCGCCCACGAGGAGCTCTAATAAACCTATTCCGCATACAGAAATTTGTAGAATAAATTGTTTCATAAAATCAGCTTGGTCAGCTTTTCGACTGCTGAGGAGATGTCGGACCAACTTTGTTGCACTTGCCAGGGACCGTGCACTGTAGCTTTCGATTTTATCTCCTAATTCCTTTTGGCGGGCGCTGTTCATGCTGTCAGTCGTTCTATCGCTCAAGTTGGGTCATCCAGCGGGCTACAGCGATCGCGAGTAAGTTAACTAAACCAAATCTTCCCACTTTAAGGAACCAGATTATCTATGCATAGATGTGCACTACCTGGATTGTAATTGTAGGCGGGAGGTACAGCACAATATTTGTTACTATTTCGTCCTCAGAACATTCTCTAAATTCAAGAGAAACTTCCTTGCTATATCAGTCCTTTGTGGTACTGATTCTTCTGCACGTAAGTTTCGGACAGATTTCGTGTCGTAAGAAGTTTAAGGTATGCAATTACATTTCCAATTTGGTCACCAACTTCAGTATCAGTATATTTGAGGGAAATGTATTTACGTCTCTTTGAACCGCGAAGACCCTCGCATGATCTTTCCTACTTGATTCATTGCACACGAGAGCTGGACTTTTGTGTGTTGATGCGTGGTTAACCATAGCGTCGTGTCTTTGGTGAATTATGGTCTGGGGATAGGAAGAGACGAGGGAAAAAAATGGAACTGCCGCCCAAATAGTTAAAAGGAAGACCCCAGAACAGGCCACATTCCTTGTCCATCCTGCGAAGCGTTGCATGATTTCCACTCATTTATTGTGTTTATGTTCACAGTTTGCACGAACCCTGGGCCAAATGCAGCTTCTAATACGACCCAACGTTTGCACTGGGTTATGATGAAGTTTTTAAAATTTACACAGAACTTTATGTCACTTTTATGTGCTTTGCTGTGCGCTTTTCAATGTAATGTTTGGGAGATTTGAACGCCTTTTTCTCTTCTAGGAAAGCTGGTATCCCCGAAAAATACTTACTCCAGGTTGAACGCAAATGCGGCTTCAAAGCTTGAAATGTCTCCGTGGAGGTGCTCCAATTGACGAGAAATTGTTATTCATGCTGTATACCATCGACTGCTCAATTAAATTCACAGATATATAATATGGCTCCTGTACTTACAATATCTCCTTAAAAGTAACTTGAACAGGAAAATTATCTGTCTGTGACTGCGAATTCTGCATTTTTCTTACTTCTAAAGAGCCTAATTCAACTGCATAAGGAATATTTGTAATAGTGTATTCAGATACAATGTGCAACTTTAACTAAATACGAGTGAAGTTTGTGGTCAGCAAACACAAGGGGGACTGGATTGGCCAATTCTGGCTCATTAGCTGTCATCGGCCGGCCCTGCCGACCATCTGGTATTACAATCCCGGGACTCGAAAACGCCACCTGTGGTTGGAAGTCCAACGCTCTAACCGTTGAGCCAGAGGCCCGTTGTCCTGGTGGTTTTGATCGGGTATATTAACGATAGTAATGTCTTTTTCTGCCATGCTGTAACTGCTGATGGGATTTGAGATGCTCCCAAGGCGCAGCTGGGCAAGTATGTCCAGTAATGCAATCGGTGAGTGCACCACTATCAAAGTTGATGGTGTTAAACATCTGCTCAGGACGGAGCAATAGGTCGGGCGGACAGGGCCGACAGTCGGCAGCCGCGAGCGAATAAGATGCTAAAGCCAAACTTTATCCGCAAACATGATCCTACCGCAATACAGTTTCTGAAGGTTGTCAATGACATAATAGACGAATAATGTAGGACCGAAGAATGAAATCTTAAGTAATACCACTAATCTCGTTTACCCAGTCCAATTTACCCTCTCCGATACGGACGCATTGTTTTCGATCGATGGAATATGCCCTTACTCAACATATAAACCTCTTTGTTGCGAAAGGCGCTCAGTTTATGCAACAGGTGTTGGTGGAGCATGCTGTCAAAGGTTTTGCGGAAATCGGTGTACATTACATCTACTTCGAAGTCCTTTTGAAAAAAACACTGGTCCACGCCCCACCAGTAGTGAAAAGACTTGAGTGGCAGCTGCGTCCCTGGTGAAAACTATAACTAGGACGTTATTTTCATTGAACAATTTTCATATGGCGTGCTTTACAAGGACTTCCATTGTTTTGCAGGAAATATAACTCAAGGCTATATTCCTACAGCTGTGTATTGTCATCTTGCTTCATCCCTTGAATAAGGAAATGCTATAGACCATCTTTCATAGCGAAGGGAACGTCCTTGTTCTTTTCGACAACTCGAAAACCGATGAAAGAGCCATGTCGATAGTTCTTTGCATATCAACTCAGAGTTCCCATCCGGTCCAGGAGACTCGTCAGGTTTAACTTCACTAGAAACTTGTTTTATTTATTTGATATGAAAAGATTATGAAATATTTGATGCTGGAGTAACAGTAAGGTACCATAAAGAGGACACCTTGGTAGGCAAACTGCCTGGGGGTTCAGGAAACGGAGGGGGGTCGCAAGCGGAAGCTAATCAATAGAATAACAATGTGCCAACAACTATGCTGAAACGCTGATCAGACCTTTGGCTGTTGACGAAAGCAATTGATGCTGCTATCCCACATTAGAAACACGTCACGATAAGCCGAATCCAATACCCTGAATATAACGAAATCGACATCGTACCCATCTAGTGAAGAACAACAATAGAAGCAATGTGCCCACTACTGATGGTAGTAATTCAAATCAGTTGAAGTGTTGCGGGTAAAATTTTTATACCAAATTAAGCAAAAGGTCATAAATACAAGTTACAGAAAGGCGTAACAACTAGAATTGGTCTAAAAAGTTGTGTAAACGTGAAATTACGACAAAGTTGACGATAAATACAATACAGCCAAGGAGGAAGTATAGTAACATATAGGGCAAGAGGTTCGTACCAACGGTAGGGTCTGAACAGCTGGTGTTCGTGTAGCAGTCACCACGATTGCAACCTTGGCCGGCGACAGCATAATGAGTCAGCGATCACGGTGTCCCACAGTGGCCGTTTGTGGCCACTAGAGCCCATTCTCTAGAACCTGGAGATATGTCTAATTTTTAAGAGGGTATCAAACAACCATATAGACAGTCAGGAATTAAATGTGCCAGGAGTTATTCAGAATCCGGCCATATCCTATTCTAGTAATAATAAGGTTTATTTGTAAAGCACACCTTTGGGGCCGTAAAAACCCAAGCTGCCAGAGCACTGTGCCCTGACTGCATCGAAATCACGCCAAACTACCGGATTTATTCTCAGAAATTTTAAGACCATCAGGGTTAGAACTAACCTTTATAATACGTACGTGAGAGCAAGTCTCGAATACTGCCCACCCCTGTTTAGCCTTCGGCGTGCTAGTGAACGGAAGAAAATAGGATCGATCCAGCACTTCTTCAATAAATAGTTTTCTCTCCAGAACACCGTAACTTATCCTACCAATGACGTTGTAAACTTATTAAACTCGATCCCTTGTGGCTTCCCAGATAACAAAAGGGACTATTTTTACTGCTGAAACTTTTAAATGGCAGTACTTTTCATTTACTCTGACGATGGCTTCTCGTGGGGAGCCGAAAGCTCAGAATA